AAGCCTAAATGGAAGCTACTTGAAATTTTTCATCTTAAGAAGAGAACGGGACATTTTCCATTGCTAACTTTAGAGATCTCACAATTCTGTAAAGAGATGGACTGATTAAGGTAAAGGTATTTTTGGCAGAAATTGTCTTTCTTTTGTGTTTGTGATATGTAGGGTTCTATATAAAATCCTATAATGCTAAATGTAAGCATTGATCATGCATTGGTTTCCCCCTTCTCGAGGCTAATCTTTTAACACTAAATTTTAGTTACCATGCTCATTGATCGCATGAGCTCAGCCTGAACACTGAGTCTGTGCTTTTCTTCATTTTTTTTTATCACCTGGATCCTTTCACAGAAAAACTTCTTGACTTTTGGTCTGAAGGTATTGTGCAAGTAAGTTTCAGACTTTCTCTGATTTTCTAAGTATTTTCTAGATATTTGGAGCATCGGCAAATAATATACTCAGTTAAATGGGACTTACTTGGGTCTCAGTTGTCCGAGACTAAAACTGGTTTGAGTGCTAACACCAAGCGTGTGCATCTCCCAGGCATAGTAGTCATTGTTTGTCTCCAAACAGATATCTATAAACAAAGTTTTCAAGATTTTAGACTTTATACAAGATACGGCCATGGGCCTATCTTGTTAACAATAGGAAGCCATTGAGATGAAGGTGATTTTCAAGGTAGTGAGACAATTTCTTTTAGGACAATTCCCCAGTGTTAGAACGTCAAAAGTTGCTGGTGATTGTCACAGCAGATATCTGTGGCTCCAAACGGTGGATATGGCTGCCTTTATGGATCGCCATCGAACAATCTGAGTAGTTCTGGTCGTGTGCTGCCCAGAAAAGTTCCACATTTAAGTTTGAGACCTGCAAGAAAACTACCATCCTCATCCTCATATTCTTCTTCCACTTCCAGGATTTCTTGCACCCCTCTTCCATCTTACACTCCTCAGACTGCCTGATAAAATGTCTGCTACCCTATAGAGGGCTCCTAATAGTGGCTAATATACTTGTGATGAAGCAACGAGCACGTCCTCATCTCGTCCTCGGAGAAAGAGTTGCCATCCTCCACACACTATGGATCTTCTGCTTGCCCAAATATGGATTCATGGTTGATGGCCAATCCACATAAAGCACTATGTCTGAAAGCTGCTGTCTCGATATATAAAATTCAAGCAAAAGACAATAATGAACTTTAGCCACTACACCACGGACTGTTCTCCTACTCTCCTTTGACCTTAGCCAGAACTCAAAAAATGCAAATGAGCTATTTCCAAGTGTTGTTGAATTCCTCTGCACCAAATACTTTCTTTTTTTTACGCTCTTATGTAAAAGCAAAGGCATTATCTATCACCAGAAATGTAAAGGCATAGAGACAGCCTAAATATTTCCAGTTCTCGTTTTAAAACATGCATTCACTCACCTTGTGCTCATATCCCATCACCAAATACAAGCTACACTGTTCTCCAGAACTCTTCTGCCTTCTGCATCTAAAAAAGAATGACATGCGACTGGGAGCCACCAGATGCCTGTCAGTGTGGCAGCGACAACATAGTCGAGTCGAGATGCTTAACTCTTTTAAATACCTGAGAAAGAACTCAGCCTTGAAAACCGTGGCTTTCATAGGACCAGACATGAATGCTTACACATGCTGGAAACATGATGAATGCTTGGAAACTACAAATTTAGCTTCTCAAAACTTTCATATTTTTTCCTCACAGGAATTCCATGCAAGTATGTATTAGGTATGCAAATCTACAGCAGTAATATACTTTATTCACCAACATAACATGCAGTGGAGGTGATCTTTGGAGCTTATAATCAAGTCTTTTTTTTGCAAGCTTAGAACCTACAAGGACTGATCTAAAACTAGGCAGTCGCTTGCCAAATAGTTGGGACGGCAAGGAATTCACAAACGATTCAGACCCCTCCACTGTTGGGATATCCAGGGAAAAGCTATAGATTCTATACAGCAAAACCACTCTACAGGTTTGTCCTACTCAACTTACTCGTACAAGTTTCTCTCAGCACCAATGATCCTTCTTCAGGAGCAACAGAGAAAAGTCCCAGACTGTCCAGCAAAATATATATGGTGCAAAAGAAAAATGAAGAGGTGACTTTAATGCTTTTAGCTCCTAGGTAACTTTTTTTCTAGATTACTGACAGCCTTCTATGCCGCCAGCTTCTTCTTGCTCCTGGTTTTTTTTAATTTTTTTTTTACAATATTAGCTATGATCCCATGCAATTTCTAAGGCATGGATCTTGATTGTATGGTTATATGTTCTTTTTCCAGTGGCCCTGGATTCCTTTCTATGTTTGTCTCTGGGACACGAGATTTAAAGGACGAGGATTAATGTCCGAATGCTCAACCATAGAGCATGCAGAGATCATCGGACACATATGCTACCATCAGTAAGGAGAACCCACCCTTTTTTAAAAAACAAATTCAATAATAAGAGGTTTCAGCGACCTAGTACAATAGTTGCATTGTCAATAAACTGTCTCAGCGGTATTCTATTCGACGAGCTTTTGTGCAACTTAGATCTTGACCTTGACCTGGACTTTGATTTTGATTTTCGGAACTGACTCCTAAGGACAGTTACGCAAACTTATTTGTTGGTCAATAGAAATACTTTCTTACCTTGTCTTCATTCTAGCTCCCTTGAGGTAGGGGGGCGTTTTTATTGCACCCTGTTCGTGCGTTCGGTTAGAACCATCTTTTTAGATCTGGATGCTCCACTTTCGGTCCCATTCTTCTTTTACGTCTCCGCCAGCTATTAGAAATGGTCGATGCATTTTCAATAGCAGGATGCGCTGGAGTATGTGCTTTGCTTCCAAATATTAATGATTTTAATAAAGGGATTCTGTAAAAGAAACTTAGGAACATATTGGCAGCACTTGAGTTCTTTGCAGGAACATATTCGAAGTCAGTTGTGCCAATCAGACCCCGTACTAGAACGTAAACAGAGACTAAAACTTGAGGTAAATATACTAGTAGTAATCTCTGTCTTTTAGAAACTCTCGCAAAGTAAATTTCAAATATCAGTGGAATCTGTTCAAACGAATGCTAGCTGTAAGAAGCATCCTCAGAGATCCAGAATCCTACCAATGTGCTAGTCGTATGAACTCCATAAAGGATAGCGGTTGCATCTCCCCATGCTTTCCCTGTAGCATGCATGTTTTACAATCTTTCTAAATACCGCCTTAAGCATACCATAATAAAATGCATATGCATTCAGTAACATAAGAGGTACTCGAATAAAAATATTTCCAGAAATAATACCTAAATAGAAAGGCGGGGACCTTCTTAAGAGAAAATCACCATTTGCATGAACATGCCATTTAAGCAGTGCTTGGAGCAGCTTTGGAAATATCCAAGTTGGTAGCAAAGCTTGAGTTTCAATAAGCAGGACGGTAGATATATTTGCTAGGAAAAAAATTGAAATGGCTAAATCAATCTCCCATCTCCAGTGCCAAAGCCTTGCAAACATGGTTTACATCTGTTGCAGAACATTAGAAGTCATGGTATAGGAAAGGTCTCACCAAACTAACTTTAAAAGTTTGTCAGGTGCCATTTTGAAGCTGTTCCATTAGCCAGTTCATACCTTCTCGTAAACCCCCACCAGTCAGAGCTGCCAGTGGACAAATAAAACCTTTTGCCCACAATAGGCAGAGAAAGCTATTTACCAGAACAACCATGTACTTGCCAAGCGTGGTGACGAATATAATGTAAATTTAATGCGTCCGTAATCTGTGCTTACAAGATCAAACCCTGTGTAGAAACGGAATACGAACTACCTCATCCTCGGCAATTGCTAACTCTGAATCTTGCTTATTGGCAAATACAAGAACTGGAAATTTTCTGTCCTTGACGTCGTCTAAGAAATTGATCAGCTCCTCACCTAGATTTTTAGTCACATATCAAGATTATGGTATTGAACAAGCTTGCATACCACTTTCCTCCAGTCTCTCTCTGTCCTCACAGTCAATGACATATACCTGCAAGTAAATGCAGTTAAGAAGAACCCTGGATTGCTGTGCAAGAACCAATCCGTCAATTTGGTCACAATAGTTCCTCCAATAGCTTCTGCTTGCAAGCTCACCTTTATTAAAACAGCGTCAAACTATGAATGCTGAATGAATATCCTTACCACCGACATCCCATACATTAAGCTTAAATTTTCCACGCAACAAGGAGTTAATATTAAAACCCTGCATCACTATTGTCCTTGTAGCGTTAAAGTGAAAGTGTTCAAGATTTACCTGTGTAGGAACAACATCATAAATAGACTCATTTGTGAGTTTCCTCAATATTGTTGTCTTTCCCGCATTATCTAGTCCAAGAACAAGAATTCGCGCTTCCTTTACACTCAAGCTTTTGATCACCAGACACATTGAGAATGCAAATTTAGTACCGAGCAGGCCTTCTGCTTGAAAATCCTCTTGAGCAATGACACTAATCCCTGCACAAAGTAGATCCTTGCTCAGCAACAAGTGCAGGGTTAGTACATTACCATAGAGGCTATCCTAGATAGGAGATACAGAACCACAGGACAGGATAATGGGGCCTCTCAGAACACGTGTCCAAATAGGGTTGGATACTTTTATGGCGGTGGTTACTCTTGGGGAAGGGCTGGCCTTCTCATGGCTTGTTGCATCAGCCATTTTATCAGCACTAATAGAAAATAAGAGGCTGATTGCCTGGAGAGATTTATTTGATTTCATAATATTGTGAATAAAATAATTAAGAATCACAGAGCCATTTGGCCTCCAGATGAAAAAAGAAGGAGATATTCAGACTTCGCCTTTTAGGATGGCGAGGTGATGCTTGAATTCTTGCATGGATTACGTCTAGGCACTGAAAATGCCCTTAGCATCACGCTTGGATCAGATTCTTTCACCTATGATGAAGTTTCTTTTCATTATTGCATCTATTTTCTTGGCATTTTCTAAACGTAAAAACAAAAAACCATACTCTGCTGCAGATCCCTAAGTGCAGCGTGCCAGTAATGGAAAACAATGCACCACGGCTCTATGATGTACGAGCTCAAAACCCTCGCAAGACAGGTATTTTAATTTTATCTTTGCAGCATCGCATATTGTCCAATAGTACAGATTTGGAGATTAGGGAAATTTTTATCTACGGGGCAGGGCTGCACTCTATTACTTCCATAGTGGGCCTGTCGAGTTTCAAGAATCTACAGTTCCTGAGCTTACACAACAACCATATCAACAAAATTGAAGGACTGGAAGGACTCTTGTTGCTCAAGGAACTTAATTTGTCCTCCAATTTTCTTGAGAGCATCGAAGGCTTATCAACTTTAAAAAGCCTTAGAGTTCTCAATCTCTCGTGCAACCGAGTAAAGCAAATAGCAGGCCTGGAATCCCTCATTTCGCTGAGCAAGCTTGTTCTGTCACACAACCGTATTTCAAAATTAAGTGGCATATCGGCCAGGTAAGAGGTTCTTTGTTTTGCTGCTAACTGGAATATTGGTGCAGGCTCACGTATTTAGACTTAAGAGACAATTTTGTAAAATCGCCTGCTGAATTATGGCAACTTGCTGGATGTACTCATCTCAAGGAGCTTTTCTTTTCACATGGAAAATATACAAATCCCGTCTGTCAGGAAAAATGCTACCATGCAACACTGGCTGCGGCTATTCCACACCTACAATATTTAGATGGGAACCCTGTGGGAAAGAAAGGAGATGAGAGCAAGATTTTTCAGGTAAATGACGATTTATTGCCAACAGAGTCCATTCCCTGGAAAGATGACCACGAGAGTCGGCTAGAAAATATTGAAGCTCGTTTAATGGAAGTACTGGACACTATGAAGAGCACCTCAAATAAAGGCCGCAAGAAAGGCACAGTACGGGTTCCTGTGTCACTGCTTTATGTTCCTGAACTATTTGACCTTGCAGGATGTCGACCATGCATTAGAACCACCAAAAATGCGTAAGGAGGTACAACTACATTTTTAATGAGGAACTGACTATGATGCGCTTTCCAACAGATTAGTGAGGTTCAAACCGAGGTTACAAATGTCGAGAAGGACCTTTTCAAAAGAAAACATCCAAAAATGGTACATTCACCGAACCATGGAGGTAAAGAAAGGGAACACTCACCAGGTCCTGCGAAGGAATGTTTCTTCATGCCTCAGGAAAGACCTAAGGTAAAAACATGTGGGTTCCGCGTTACGAAGCTTAGATTTCCAAGGAAAGGACGATGGATCGCATACTGCCCAACGTATACAGGAGCTCCTTTATGATTCTGAAAGGTCCAAAGCAGAACTACTCACCCACCAATCGGAAAATAAAGCTCTAAAAGAGTCACTCGATGTAGCTACCTACTTGCACAAGGTAAGCTCCAACAGTTGCTTGTGTCATTCTATTGTCTTTTCTTTTAGAATGCAGAGAGCACCTTAACAGACGTCACTGCCGAAAAGAAACATATACAGGATGCAATGTCACGCCTAAGAAAATCTTTAGAGGAGGAGCAAGCAAAACTGAAACTTTGCAGTAACGAGCTGGTACTAAATTTGGTATCTTTTCTTTTACAGTTTTGTCAGCTTTTAGATTAGGATTCGTTCAAAAGCAAAGAAGCTCTAGCTCACGAGGAGGTTAAAAGACTCTCGAATTTACTGGCAAAAGAACGGAGTGAATGGAAAGAGGAGATCACGCGCTTGAGCCTGTAAGAATTCACGTAGTATATTTTAACGTTGTTCTTGTTGAGTTGCTCTAGAATGCATGATGAAGAGTTAGCATCTGCTATTGAAAAGGAAAAAGAAGCTGAGCAGCTACGAATTACGACAAAGTGGAAGAAAGAACTTGAGTACTTACGATGTAACATTCAATCTACTGAAAGAGAACTGGAACTAGCTAATGAAGGTGTGTCGTTACTCACTCTTCCTCCCTCACAAATTCATGAACTGCAAACAGAAAGAAAAACAAGTGTAGAACGCACGGAGAAGATACGCATGGAGCTTTCCCGAGAAAATGCAGATTTGCGAGATGCGTTAAAAACTGTTATCCAAAAGGTGCGTTTGTCAGCTTTGATTTTGAGCTAACGCTTCCTTTGTGTTTAGGAGCAAGATGCTGAAGCGCTTCTAGCAGAGCTTACTGTTGTTGTGCACTCACAGGTTCGAGGAAACAGCAAAATGTACTTGCTGACTTTTATTGCGTGCACAGAAGCTGAAGCTGCAGTCCACACAAGCTGAAATTGCAGCATCCACTGAGGTATGCATATTACATATGCCGAATTCGTAATTTCTTGATCTGCCAGGAAATAGAAACACTTAGAGCGGAAGCAGTCTCCTTGAGAAAGCAGGCAGCCATGTCAGATGACATGCTAAACAAATGTATAGAAGCCTCAAAGGCTGGAGACAAAGAACGACAAAGTCAAGAACAGTCTCTACGCAATCTTGTTCAGTCTCTCAAGGAGGAAAAAGGAAAGCTCAGTACACGGCTCAGTTCCATTTCAGAACAACTTGAAACAAGTACTGATGCGGTTCGAATCAAAACAAAAATGCTTGATTGTCAAAATGATAGCATCAAGGAATTGAAGCTCGAACTATCTCACACAAAAAACGCTTTAAAGGAGGTGAAGTCTTCGGTGGATCTACTTGAAAATGAGTGGAGCACCAGATTCCGAGATGAAGTTGAGCAGGTGGATTATGCTGTTAAATCTTTTTTCTTAAATATGCTTCTGCCTAGGGTCGAGCATTAAGGAAAGAAGTATCGGCACAAGATATGGTTATAAATGAGCTTGAAGAAGAAATAAGATTGCAAAAGAAATCCTTTCTAACGTTGGAACATGACTACTCCATCCTCAAGAATAAACTAAGTGAAAAGGACGAGATGCTAAGGTATCTGCTATTTCTTGAAACCCGTTAAACTTGTAATTCAGATACGTGAAGGAGGAGATAAATCGGGTTAAATCCCTATATGAAAACCGAGAAAAGTCAATCGCGTTAGAAAGAGATCAAGCCAATGAGAAGTTTCATTCAACAACCAACGTGGGTGCCTAAACAGAATTTTACACATCTTATTTTGGTAATCTGTCTAGGAAAAGAAAGAAGTAGAAGAAAAACTAGTGCATGTCCTGGCTGAGATGGAACATATAAAAGGGGTGAACTTTGAACTTGAGGTACCCGAGAGTTTTCACTTGTCCTTTGCTTAATTAAGATTTGCAGATAAGAGAGAGAAATATTGCTACAGCTTTAAAGCTGAAAGACGAGGAGCTGACGGAATCTTTTTGCAAGGTTTCCCATCTTGAGAATGATCTTAAAGAGCTGGAGAGGATGAAGGCCCTGTCAACGTCTAAGGCAAGTCCATGCCTGTGACTGACGAAATACCTAACATCAGTCGGAATCCAGGTGAACAAGCTGTCTACAATCCTAGACGAATTGCGCGCTGGAAGCTGATATAACCATAACAAGCAAGAAACCATTATACTTGTGGGGTTTTTATTTTGTGTTGTTTGAGCACTTAACGTACAATGAATATGCCCCCAGCTTTCGATCCAGGTGATGTTGGATTGCACAATCCCCTGCCCCAAGCAACGTACTGCCACCTGCTCTCTCCTCCCCACTATTTTGTTAGCCATTCCACCAAACAGAACCTTTAAGGTGACTGGATTCGTGTGTTGCTCCCCATTTGCGAGAAAATATTAATCTCGGTCAACACCGTTAAGCGTATTTTACTAATTAGGTTTTAAGGGCAATGGCAGACATTGCTGCTCACAATAGTGTTCCTGTGTCACTCCCCTTACTTCTATTTGATTGCTCTAAGCACGGTAAGCTAATTGTGTGCACTCCTTGGGGTTAATTTCTGCTTGCTAGAGTCTCATACACCTTCACAAGGTTTCAAGCAGCTTGCCAGAAGGCTTCGAAGCAAGTTTAAAGTGTCAATGTGATTCATTCCCTCCCACCTCCCTCCATATGTCACATTGTTTTCCTGTCAGATACAAAAACTTGCTTTCTTTGGAAAATCTGCAAGAAGCTTCTATCATTATATTTGGATGCCCAAGGGAAAAATTCAGCACGGCGGAGGTAAAATCTATGTCCTAATAGACAGAGATAAACCATGAAATCAAACCAGATAGACAACTTGCGATCCTATGTAAGCAGTGGTGGTTCAGTGATTTTTCTAAGCAAAGAAGGTGGTGATATCGCCCAAAATACGAATCTAAACGATTTGACGCAAGAATACGGGATTACAATCAATTCCGATGGAGTGGTGAGGACTTGAATTTATTTAAATGACACAATGGACCTGTATGTTTTCCAGGTCCAGACCATTCAGGATAAGTATTTTCATCCCAAAGAAGTTATTGTGACAGATGGTATCATATGTGAAGAACTGAACGAAGTATTAGCTAATACTCGTCATTCAAGTATTTTATTAAACATTTTTTCGTTATAGTTTTCAGGTAGAAGTTTTTGCGGGCGAGAATACAATTCAGATCCAAGGTGTGAACTTTTTTCTTCGTTCAATAATAATAATAGGATAATAAGCAGGTTTTGGGAGCCTGACGATATTGAATATGATAATTCAAGAAATGAACTTCGATTTCTATACCCATATGGCACTACATTAAGCGTTCAAAAACCGGCAACAACCATACTTTCTTCTGGGTTTATGTCTCAACCAGTGCAGTGCTCCATTGGTACTCTTCAAGAAGTCTAGTTTTCCCTATTTCAATTGAATATTCCAGGAGCATTATGGCAAGGAACTAAAGGCAAAGGACGAGTAGCTGTGACTGGAAGCGTAGCAATGTTTGAGGATGTCTGGCTAGACAAGGAAGATAACGCTACGCTCTCAGATTTTGTCTTTCTTTGGCTTTATAAAGAAAAGTCTCTTGAGGTACAACATTATCCGCAAAGGTCATTAACTGTCTTACTTCAGCTGGAAAAAGTGAACATTGAGGAACCGGATGCTAGAGAACTTGAACAAATCCCAAACACAGAAGCTTTAGCTAACCGACTACGTTGTTGCTTACAAGTAAGGTTTCTCTTGAAGGAATTTCATGTTGAAGTCTTTTCAGGAGGCCGATGATATACCCAAAGACTTTACGCAGCTTCTTGACAACAGTCTTTTTAAGTACCACACAGACTTAATACCTGAAACGGGTAATTTGTATAGATCTCTTGGAGTTAAGCATGCTCCTTTGACACTGATCGCACCTCAGGTATGAGTGGCTTTTTCATTTTACGAAATTGAGAGTGGCTTTTTTTAGTTTGAGACTCCATTACCACCTCTTCAGCCCGCTGTGTTTTCCCCAGTTTTGAAGGAACCAAAGTTACCAGAAATAGACTTATTTGACCTTGACGATTGCTTTGCTTCACCATGTGCAAGACTTGCACAACTAACTAACAAGGTAAGTAATGTGACTTCAGCTTACTTGTGTTTTATGTTTTTCACTAAGCACCGCAGTGCAAAGGAGTAGAGCCAGAGGACCTGGTTTTGTATATTCTTGAAGCGGCAGCAATAATCGGAATCATGCCAAAGGTTTGAAAGAGTATTTAAACGAGAATGCATTCACAATTCCTATGTTTTAGCAGGTTGTATGCCATGGTCTGCATTCTAGAGAGCTGGCAAAATCGAGTTTAACAATCTTATTTGAAGAGATAGTGACAATGAAGAAAACAGGCTTCGATGATTCTCCAAGATTGTTTGGGAAATAAGTTTGGATATCTCAATTCATATTTTGCATGTCAATCTTTTCTTTAGAGAAATCAGCTCCAACACGGTTGTATATATTGCCTCCTTAGCTAAAGCTACAGCGGAGTTGATTCTTAAGACAAGTAATCATAGATGCATGGTCTCGGTCAAGGTATTTTACCAGTCCTGCTGGGCTCAAAGGAGAGCTCCTTTCGAGCTGCTCAGTCGGGCCTGTGCAGTGGGATAAGCAAGATTGCTGAAGCTCTGGGTCCAAAGGATGGTGAACTTGCTGGTATAGGGGCCATTTATTAAACCATAGAATAGCTGGTACCCTGTGAAGTTTCCCTCAGGATAGTATAGCTGGAGCTCTTACCGAGTTTAATCAAATAAAGCGGATGATTAGAGGCATTGAGGGTGGAACACACTACCTCATACTTTAAATAGGTAAGGCAGCCAGGGTTGCTCCATTGAGCTCCGACTGCAATGTGGGCCATTGTAGGTTAAGCAGATCTACTGGGTTTGTTCCCGTAGCAGGACTGATGATACAGAAGTAGCGCTACAGTGCCAATGTGTGCGCTAACCCAGATCTCACAAAGGTCTTGATTGATTAATACAGCAGGACAGTGGTCATGGAAGTCTGGTGTATGACGAATTGGCACTCTGTTTTGATATGCTGCTACCTGATGGTGTTCTTGGTATCCAACGACTATAAGAAACCGTTCCAAATTGCTCAACACTTAATCGGTAAGATGCATGTTTAGGCAGAAAATTGATATGGGTATATTTTCGGTTCAATCACTAAAGAAAATACTTCAAAAGATCAAGCGAGCTAAGAACGATTGATGTTGACCACGGGGAAGATGCTAGCGGCTTATGGATGTTAAAAGCTATCAATGTGCTGCTAGAAATTTGATTTTCTTGTGTGTTGGAAATGCTAGACTTCCCAGGTGACAGTCACATGAATGTTCAAATGCTACTGTTTCCAAGTGTGAGCATCCTGCCTAGACAGCGATCAACAATTAAAAACGTTATATAAATTTTGAGTTCGTTTCGGTGCTATATATGGGCTTCCAAGCACCAGCCCGTTGCCTCCAGCAACCTGTGGAGCATAGCTCAGAACATAATGTAAAACGCGAGATTCCAGCTTTATCACGTTGGTCTGGAGGACAATGATCCAGACATGTGCGCTAGCTGGGATTTTCTGATCTACATTAAACCCACCAAGCTACACATTACATAATGCTGTGTGGATCTGGCGCATTGCAAAGGAACAAGAAATTTTATTTTTAAGCCACTTATATGGCGAGGGCTCCTCCTGGAGGATCCCATGCCCGGAATCAGGGTCGGGATGCTCCCCAGTCGACCCGGATGAATACCGGGCCCCAAATGTGCTCAGAAGCTAATGTAATAAGGAATCCTCCTGGGTCCTGTAACACCGCTCTGAGTGCGATTGCTAGATACTGCGAACTAACTACCTTTTGAAAATTAAAACATGGGGCAACTTTAGTGGTTGGAATACGTAGGATCTTATTTACACTATCACTGCAGCTATGCCAGGTCTTTTTAATAAGCAGCAGGAAATTGGAATGGATGCATGACCCCATGAAAAAGTTTCTGGACCGGTGTATGCTATCAAAGATTGGCAGTCACGCTTTTGTCCCACAAACTCGATAAAAAATGCTTTCAACTAAGTAGATACTTAGTAGCCTGAACCAATCCTTTTCTACAATGATGTCCTTTGGCTATGAGTTTCGCTATCCCCTTCTTACTTTATCAAAGCCAATGACATTTGTTGATGGCAGAGTAAAGTAAGTATAGTGAGTCCAAACAAAACTAGGGTTTTAAAACTTTTTTTCTTTCAAAAAGGGGATAAAGAGGATGTGAAGAATGAACAAGGTGAGTTTGACCTCCTATATGCAGTGTTGGACAAGGATGAAGGTTGTTAGTTCAAGTTAATAGTGGTCTAAAAGGTTAAGTGAAGGGAAACATAGAGACAAGTTTTGATAATAGTTATGAGTCTAAGGGGGTTATTGCACCCACCATTAATTTATGCCTTTTACATCAGAGGATTTTAGCCTAATTTAAAACTTTAATGTTATTCTTTTCACACCAATATTAGTTAATAATAGCATTAGTAGTTATTAGTCATTTTGGGTGATAAAAACTTTGGATAATGTTAACTGGTTCACACTCCCATTAAATTAGCTAATTTAATGATGCTATGTTCACACCAGCTATTATAAGTTATACCTTTTACAACATGCCATTTAAAGGTGGCGCTTCTTTGGATTTAACTATTTATGCCCTGAAATATCCAATGCTGGCTCGAAATTTCCCAGTGAAGATCCTTCATCGCAGTTATGCGATGCTGCTGCTAGTGATCCAATGTTGCGATGCTACTGCTCAATCTAATCTTCTCAAAATATCCAGTGCTAGCTATTTCCCTCTTGCTCTAGCAATATCATATGAATCTATTTAAGAAAACCAATTGGATTGTCGATCACGAACACTTGGACCACCAAAACTCATGATACCTCCACCAGGAACACTAGTAGCAACACCATGAGAACTTGTAGTAGCTCCAAAACTAGGAACAAGAGTTCCTACACCTGATTCACTACCACTGCTTCCACTTCCACCAACAGCAAGACAGTGAGAGCTTGCACTTGCTCTAGGAAGAAGAGTTCCACCAGCACCTGGTCCAAGATCTCCAACAGCAACATCATGAGAATCTGCACCAAGACTTCCACCAGCACTTGGTCCAAAACTTCCAGCAGCAACACAGTGAGAATCTGGGCTAAGAGTTCCACCAGCACCTAAGCCAAGACTTCTAACACCAACACCGTGAGAACCTAAGCCAAGACCTCCAACACCAACACCGTGAAAACCTGCTCTAGTCATCCATAGCATGCTTGGCTAGAAGTAAAATGCTCTAAAATGTGCTAGAAATGCCTAGAAATGCCTAGGATTGATCTCTTACCTCGTTTCTGCCGTGGTACGCTTGCCAACACCATGCCTCGCTGCTCCATGGGCATCACCAGTACTCATAGCCAACAACACCGCGCACCGCACACCACGCCAAAATGAAAGCAAGTGAAAGCCCTATAGAATATTCGTGAATATTTTAATCCTAATGCTACAAAAGTGTAGCACTAGCAGGGAACCCAGCTCCGCTGGGATAGTTAGATGTTAATTCTAAAAAGAGAACAATTTATTAAAACTTGCTTAAGTTCAATATATAACAAGCACTTGGTTTATTTAGTTTTTACTTAGTGATTGCAACCAAACACTATTTCTTAAATGGTTTACTGGAATAGAATAATACAAGCTTGGACTCAAAGCTTAAAAGAATTATTCAACACATGAAGAGGTGGCTTAATCATATTCCTCAATTTGGTATATTATTTGGTCATTCTAGATCAGGTTCATCACTTCTATAAGCTCATTGGGGTTAAGCAATAGACTACTAAGCATTTTCCATCTCAAGGCATTTTTAATTTATGCCCATGTGAATAAGGAGTAGTTCCCTTAGGGTGGGGTTCCATGCTCCACCCACCTGGAAATTTCTCCTCACCCCACAACTTTCCCCTCCTTTTTTTTTAATGGTTACATTACATGTAACCCTCTTTTTTATATGCCACATAAGGCTACACATTAGCTTCTTTTTTTCCACATCATAATGGATTAGGGTGCCATTTTTTTTTACCCTAAATTGAGTGCATAGCATGCCATAGCTTGGCAATTCTTCCTTGGCAATCATTTCCCATGCTGTAGAGATTGTGATGAGGTACTTAAATTTGGTAGAGTTGTTCTTTCTGGAGGAGGACATGATCTTAATTCCAGTTTCAAGAAAGCTTTTGTTCATTCAAATGGTGGAGGAAGCGATTGCTATAGTGCTTTCTATGCCATGTCCTACTGCAACTTCATTTATTGAAAAAGTGATAACTAAAAAGGAGCTCCTAGGGCATTGATCAGTGTGGATTACATCAAGCCAAGAAGTCTCCACTGGTGGTATCAAACAGAGCTTTAGGTTCTCCATATAAATCCACAAAGATTTAGAGAAGTTTTTTAATATCTACATTCACTTTTCTTTGTGACGAGCTTGCTCCAAAATTGGCTAGGAGGCCTCTTCTAGATTTGGTAGAAATACCAAAGTAGCACTTAGCTATTTCAAAGCAAGTAGCTATTGCTTTGAAACGCTTGGCATTCAGGGATATATGGCAAATAATTGGTGATGCATTTAGAGTGGCTTCATGCACTCAAGCTTGTTTATGTTGATTCAGGTATTCATTGCTTGAGCATGAAGGACTAATGATCCATTGGCAGATGAGGAGGGAATAAATGAAGATATAGCATGATTTCAGAGATTGTATGGATTCCCAAGTTGTTGTGGTGCAATGGATTGCACTCATATGGCAATCAAGCTCCTAGGTTCAGAGGATGCAATAGATTGGTATGCTAAGGCAAAAAAGTACTACTCAATGGTAGTTCAAGTTGTGATAGACAGTAAGACTTCATTCCCTTACATAACAATAGGGATAGTAGGTAGTGCTCCAGATAGACAAGTTTGGAATTCTAGTGGTTTGAAGAAGGCATAGATAGAGAAGAAGTGTTTATGTGGTCCAGTATACCACACAGCGTTTGGGGACATTCCATTGTATATCATTGCTGACAGAGGATAAAAGTGTGTTTTACTGGTTTTGGTCTTATATCCAAACAAATTTCATGGCAAAGAGCAATACAACTTTCTTCATTCTTCTATGAGGATTGTTGTCAAGCAATCTTTTGGAATTTTAAAGAGGCAATAGAAATTTCTTGGTTAGAAGGGATTTAGAGGACATCTAGGCATCCTTGTGAACAACATCATGTCTTGCTGTGTGCTGCATACCTTGATGATCAAAAGGAATGACAGGTTCACAGAAAATTTTGACCCTAATAGATCTAACTACAATGCAGACTACCTTCCATAGATTTTATTGTGAGAATGAAATGGTTAGTTATATGGATCTCCAAAAAGTTTTAATGCCACATTAAACTCTCAAGGGCATTCATGTGTAAGCTAAACACAGTGGACATCCTTATTTAATGCAAATAGTGCATTCAATCTATTTAACTCCTTGATAGTATACAAGAATAATGACATATATTTATTCAATGACAACTAATGGTGTGTTAATTTGTCGTAGCTATTGAAATAATTTATCATGGGAAACTGTGTTGACTAAGTTTTATATATCAAGACAATCCCCTATACCATATTTTTGAATTGTCCATGAAGTTGTGAGTTTCATTGCTACAGCTATCATTTGTCA